TTGATGAATTGCTAAGTTAAACCTAGTTTTGGTACAACATTTCCCTTGAACAATTAATTATATATCTTAGTGCAAAATCCACCATGCATCATCTATCCGATTACAAAAGATTTGCTATAAATAGAGAATATAAAATGCATGTCATGTTCGTTAGGTCTTAATTTTATGGCACATTTAAATATTCAACAAACCACACGTAAAGCTAGCTTAGGGGGTGTTTGCACTCACCGGACTACCTATATATATATATATATATATATATATATATATATATATATATATATATATACTCCACTAGCACTACAAGAAATAAGATCAAAGAAGGCAACTCTAATCGCCCTCTTAGAGCCAAATTTCGCCTTTTTAGGCAAAGAGGGTGACTTTTAAATCGCCCTAAAGTCGCCCTCTTAGCATCGTTGTATTAGCTTCAGAGGGCAATTTAGATGTTTCGTCCTCTTTGTATGAGATCAAAGAGGGCAAAAAATTTCGCCCTCTTTGAATGAGATCTAAGAGGGGGAAAATTTTTGCCCTCTTTGACTGATTCAAGCAAGGCAACTTGTTTGTTCGCCCTATGAAATCAACTCAAACAGGGCAACTTAGTCGTCCTCTTTGTCCATTATCAAGAAGGGCAAAGCAAAAAATCGCCCTGTTTGTTGATTTTTTTATTTTTTATTATTATTTATTTTTTAAAAAATTAGTTCTCTAGTACAGGGCATATAATAATATTAAAAAGAAAAAAAGTAATACAATTATAAAATTATGTAATCAACATTATTTATTAGCAAAAAGTATATTACAAAAGAATGTCCTTACAAGAAATATATATATAACAAAAAAAAAAAAAAAAAAAAAAAAAAAAAAAAAAAAAACTACTTTCATAAACATGCTACTTGGACAACAAACATAATTAAGCTAACATAATGCACAAGTACAATATTATTTTCACTCCATCGCTAGTGAAGCTGAAATTCGAACAAATTAACTAGTGATAAACCCGAGACTTTGAAATTGATATATTCAATAATATAAGAAATAATACCTGCTAAACTGATTTGATGGAGGAGCTACTTCAATTGGAGGAGAGAAAGATCAGAAGCTGCTTCAATGAAGAAGAAAGCTCGAAAATCGCTTTAATGGAGAAGAAAGCTCAAAATCCGCTTCAATGGAGAATACGAAGTATGAATCCACACATTGTGAGGAGAGAGAAAGATTTTACAATTTTATATTTTTGGGTTTGTCTTACTCCGTAGTGTCTTACTGAGCACTCAGTCTTTGTTATTTGTGCGAGAAAAGAGCAAAAAAGACAATTTTTTTCAATTCGCCCTTGTTGTTTGATCAAAGAGGGCGAATTTAGTTTTATTGCCCTTATTGATCAAATATAAGACAACGATTTGTTTTTCGCCCTCTTTGATAACAATAAAATAGGGCGAGTTACGTATGCCCTGCTTGGTAGTTTATAAGAAGGCAAAATTCAAATTGCCCTCTTTGTCAAAATAAAGTCGCCCTTCTTGAATTGTTTTCTTGTAGTGTAGTAATGGTGTATTTCACTTTTAAGACAGTGGGTACCAATCCATAGTGTAACTATAGATTTAGATATACATTCAAGGAAAGTCCTTAATCTGTTTAAATGTCATTGATTTTCAACAATTATTTTACTATGTATGTGCATACTAAGCTATTTCATGATTGTAAAATACAATTAAATATTTCTACTAGGATTGGCGGCCTTGCTTGGAAGTTGGAATACATGACAATTATATAAGTTTCTGTCATATAAAATATCATATCATACTCGTGCGTGATTAAGACAAAGACAACGTATATATGCATGTCCATGTATGATAACTAGAAATATAATTCATGAATACTATATATTATTAAGTTAACATATACTACGTAAATCATAAACTAATTTAAGTAGTAATTTTATATCAAAACATTTAAAGTTAATACTACGTAAATCTATATTATATATAGATTTCGATTTGCTTGTGTTCAAATAAATAAAGTATATAGAGTTTGCTGCTGTTGTAACAAATCTCGCAGAATCTACGTATATGTACTTGTTTTATGTAACAAAAAAAAAAGTGCAATATAATTAATGTATGCATGGCTTGTGTTATCTCTTGTGTAATATCAAGCTATTATAATATAACTTGTACGTGTTTAAGTGTTTTCCCATGTTATGAATTAAGTGGATAGGAGTAGAAGCTTATTATACATCTATGAGCTAAATAAATTTTTTTTTCCCAACTATTTACTAATTAACAATTTAAATGTACTAACTTTGAAGCAAGGGGTTGTAATGAATGTTATGCATGCTTCAACATTAGTGGACTAGTGCATCTTATTAAATAAAGAAATTATATTAAATTGTAACTTAGCTGATTTTTGTTAAATAACATGTGTTTGTTTGGCAAATTTTAAGTTGTTTGTTTATGAGTTAGTGGGATATTAGTTTTTTTGTTACTAATTAAAGGCATTTTGGATAGGAATTTTTCTTGTAATTCCTCCGTTCCAATATTATTGCAACAATCGGACTTTTACATTATTCATCACCCTTGTTTAACCATATAATATGATTTATACGTTAAACAAACTATAGGCTTGTGGGATTTTATTAGATTCGTCTCATAAAATACTTTTACAATATCAACTTTTTATAATTTTTACTCTTAACGTATGAAATGTGATTTGGGATGCGTAATTTCATCCTTGTTGCCATATCATTGGAATGGAGGAAGTATGTAACAAAGAAAATTCTTGCGGGTTAGAGCACGGAGTAACAATATTTGTTAGTGGGTTCATGTTAACTTGGGGTGTTGCGGATGGTATCAGAGCCATGACCCATTTTGATGTGATGTTATGTTGTGTTGTGCCTTTAAGACGCATTGTCTTTAAAGAATGAGATAAGTTGCCTATGATGCTCCCACATTGGAAGTTATGTAGAACAAAATTTTCCTTATATTGGGACCTTAACAGAGACATTTTGGGTAGGAATTGTTTGATCTTGCACCAAAGCAAATTGTCGCGGGCTAGAGCCCAATACAAAGAAGATAATATCTACTAATGGACTCATATTAGGTCGAACCGAGCTAACTTTGTTTCAACTACGACTCTAAATTAATCAAAGATATTTTATCTTGAATGTGAAGTAGTTATTAATTTATATACGTAGTACAAAGTATAAAAGGGCCCTTGATGTGACAGAAAACAACTACTATACATAATCAGATAAATTATATTTGTTACAATAATTTGCATGCACATTTCTAATTAAGAATATAAAAAAACTGCTAAGTAGAGGAGTTAAATTCTCCTCCTCCTTATTCAGGTTGCCCAAGCCCATTTCATATTGTTTCAAATTGCAGAGTCGCGTAATATTTGATGTTTTATACTATTGTATAACTACAAAAGTAGGATGATATCTCCCTAATGATGATTAGAACACATTATTAGTCTCGAGACCATAATTGAAAGTATTCTAGATGAGCATAAAAAAGAAAGTGAGGTAGATAAAGAGAAATTAGCATCAATGCCCCAACTAACATTTACGGCCTGTGATATAAGTTGAACAAAAGTAAATTCCTACCCTTATTGCGTCAAAAGAACAGCATCATATAGTTATATCAGTATATGTCGTAATATGTGGGTTTGGTTACTTTGGTTTTTCTCCAAGACAAAGTTGTATGCGAATATAAGTTCAAAGGCGGATTTATAATGTGAACCATATATTCTCTCCTAAGGCATTGTTTTAGTCATAAATGTCGATTTAAATTTAACCTAGAAAATATCTAGTACAAGTGTGAACTTTTTTATGGAATTAATGTACATCTTTTATTTCGTTCCTTTGAAATACCAACTAATTTATAATAGATGGAGGTTATGTGACAATTGCATTGTTAACATGCATGGTACAAGTAACTGATTACATAATAGCATATGTTAGATATATATTCTTAATCATTACATGTTATAATCTTTTAATAATAAAATTAAAAAAAAAATCTTAAAAATCATTTAAGCTAGGGCAGACTTAGGGATTGGAGTAACGTTATGAATGCAATCACGAATATGAATATTTTTGAAGAAAATGACCATTCAAAGTGATAGAGTATAAAACATATTCCTGAGCCTCAACCAATAGCTGAGGCCCAGGAATATGTTTTATATTCTATCACAAAGATCCATGAGATGCTCATTTTCACCCATCAAAACTCTAACCATAAAAATTAAAACTTGTGATACCCTTTTTTTCTTGGTTCGTCTAGAGTGACCTACCATACTATTTAGGGGTGACTATTTTATTCCAAGCCTCCTTTGTTGCGAATAATCTCACACATAAATTGAGTGGAATTGATCACACCGATGGCCAATTGAATCCACAAATGGACAACCATGCACACAAAATAAGACTAGGAAGGAATAATGAAAAAAGCAAGAACCTTATCAAATGACATAAATTCATACATTTTAATAATATAATTTATACCAAATTAGAACCTCACAGGCTCATACAGATTAACCTGTCATGTACGGATTTGTGATGGTTAAGGGTATAAGGAAAGTATCTAGAATCCCGGCCCCACACCAACAGAGCCTCGAGTAGGATTTGTGATGGAGTTAAGGGTATAAGGAAAATATTACATCCTCATGATTGTGAGTTACATACCTATATCCATTAGGACAAGTCTCGCTTAATATATACATGAGAAAGGCCAGGTATACGTATAGTACTCTCAGCTCCATCATATCATCTTGTGCACTATTGATACAAGACAACATATTCCCGGCCATGATAACTAGGAATATATCTCAGATCAGCTCAATCATGAACAATAGTAATAGCTCATACTAATTAAAGTAGCAATGTCTAAGTTAGAATCAGGTGCTAATAAGTGCTCCTTTTACTCCTTTATAAAAGAGTTAGATTAACTCATTTATTCACCAAGCAAATCTTACACAAAACAAGCTAATAAGCTAATTAAGGCTCCTCAAATATGGAAACCATGCAACAACAACAAGTTTTTCAATCTCCACCTCAAACTCAAGGCTATACACAACATCCTCAACCATACCATCATCATCCTCCTCCAACTAGCTACTACCCTCATCCTCCTCCTACCCATCACTACGGCTATCCTTCGCCGTATTTTTACCCTGCGGCTCCTCCTCACTACTACAACCCCTCCCCTTTCCCTGCTGGCAGCACGTTCAACGCGGGTGGCAACACGAATGGATCAGGGATACAGAAGAATGGAGATGTCAACGTTGGTAACAGTAATCAGAAAACTGGTGGTGTAGATATTGGTACTATTGGTGGAAATCATGGCAATCAAGGTGGACAACAATCTTCCGGAAATATTACTGCTGGCAACATTGGGTGTTAATTAAATCATTCAATGATCACATAGTTAAATTAAAGGCCGCGATTTCGTGTTGTTCGATCAAATAAAACTTATATCAACTTATATAATTTGCTACTTACTCCCTTTGTGTACTACCATGTGCTACGATATGATCCAATCAGTTCCACTACATTAATCACTGATTGTGTACTTATTTTATGTACGTACCATTATAAATATGTGCAATATAATGTATGAATAATGGCTTGAGTTATATTTCTTTTGTGATATATATCAAGCTATTATAATTAAACTTGTATGTTCTCAAAAAAAAAAAAAAAAAAAAAAAAAACAATTGATCTGATCATATCATGCTTAAGGACTAATGGCTTATTTTAGCTTTTATCAACAAGATAGTAATTTAATGACATACTTTAAGCCATATATGATTGATGAAATGCTAAACTTAGCTTAGGTACAATTTTCCCCTTGAAACAATTAATTATTTTTAATTTGTGCTAATACACCATCAACTTATAAATCATACTCGTAAATAAATTATAAATAGAACTACCTATGATTATTAACCCATGAATTGAAAAGGATTAGCTATGACACCACCTTGCCGCTCCAATTCAGATTGCATATTGGCTTGAACCCGAAATCAGTCAAGTATATATCCAACCACACCAATCTCTCTAGTCATGTTGAGTTTCATTGTTAATTAATTGTAAGGGGTGTAATACTGTGTATAAATCAGAATATAACAACATACTCTAGGGCTTGAACTATGAATGTTTTTATAGTCTTGGTAGTTTTTCTGCCTCCTGGAGCAATGTGTATATTTTCATTGATCACTAGAGTTTTGGGTTAAAACATTTTTTTTTTTTTTTTTAAATATGGGTTAAAACATGTGGATTAAAGAAAGTCCTTAGTCAGATAGCTGAGGACTAGTTCGGTCCAAAGATCTTTGGGCCAAGGATTTCTTGCACAAACAAAAAAACACGTTAACTGGCCTCAGGGATAATCTAAGGAATGTCCTCCGATGCCTGAAGATATTTAGTGCTGGAAGGCTTGAAGCTAATAATGAATGTCTGAAATGGTGGTAAATTGAACAATTTATACCCATGGGGTAGTATATAATGCGGTACCCTCGGGACATGTGGCAACTCTCAGCATATGGGCTGATTTAGAGGCTTTCTATTGTCTTTTGGGCCTTGCTTGCATTGACTTGAGGCTCTAAACACACTTGTTTGACTTATTGGGCTTGAGAACCCAATTATAAACATAAGGCCCAATATGAAGGGCTATTTTGACATCCAAACAATTGGTTTCTAATGTCCATACCCATATTAGATTATTAGATTGGCAATACAAGAATCTGACAAAGGGTACTTGAGGTGAAACTAAGAGTCCGAAACTCCAAGTAGCTAGTATAGCATCACGTACCATTTACCACTATACGTGTGTGTATGTCACCATGTAAGACAAGAGCAACAACATTAGTCTATACCACTTTGACTCTTCAATAAAACTAAGGGATTATGGAGAATACTTCATGCAATATCAAGGAAAGTTACAATATCAATTTCATAAAGCACCCTTAATATGACAGGAAATACTTCATGCAATATCAAGGAAAGTTACAACATCAATTTCATAAAGCACCCTTAATATGACAGGAAATAACACGGTTATACATAATCAGAACATAAAACTTATTCCAACCATATACACGTTATTAAGAATAAAGAGCTCATTTTAATGGAACAAGAATAACATAATCGGCTCATTAAATAAATAACAATTTCATGTTGTTATACTTGTATCATAAAAAATCTTGAACAAATTCAATGAAAACTATTGAAAAGTACTACTCGGATCTTACTTTACTAGTCCAACAGAATCTGATACCCAACATACTACCACCTCTATAAATTATTGAACACTTAATATTAGTTCATCATCAAGCAAATACATACAATCAACAAGTTTTTGAAAAATCAAAATTTAAGGCAATGCAGTACGCTTTTCCTCAAGGTCATCAAGGATATACATATCCTCATTTTCGCGGTCCTGAAGAACCTCGTTACTTCTATCATCACCGTCCTCATCCTCCTCCTACTACTAATCACTACACTCCTCATAATCATGGTTACCCTGCAGCTTACTATCCTTCAGGATCGTCGAACTATATTAGTAACAATCCTTTTACCGGGCACGTGTACAATGCTGGTGGAAACCGCTATGATGGACATGGAATACAGAGAAACGGAAATGTTAAGATTGGAAATAATGGAAGTTCTAAGAAACGCAAAAATCGCAAGACTACAATTGTTGGGGGGTGTCATAACAATCAAGGCGGTCATCAGGTTTCAGGGGATGTAATCTTGGGTGACTTCTACTAGTTTGCTGCTACCACACTACGCGTCATGAAGTAATACTTGGTATTTTCTAGACTTGTGTGCCTGATGTAATAAAAGGTTTACTAACTGAAGTGCTGCTGTATTGAACTGTTACTGTTAGTTCGACTCTACTGATGTATCAGAGTATTTATTTCAGTCTGTACGATGATTGTACTATGTATTGTATGTGTTTTTATTTGTAACCCTACCACTTCAGGCTTCTGCTTAATGTCATAAATCATATTATTTGTAATTCATTTATCAGATAATTAGTCATTCTTATTGATTCATAAGCTACTGGTTTGAGTAAACTGCCTCTGACAATATATGTAACTGACACTTATTCAGTGAGCTGAAATGATCATCTTGGTTCCAAATCGCATAAAAAAAATTGTATTCTTCTAGCTAGTTTCCGGAAAGGCTGTTATCATTGTTGATTGTAGATCCTTCATCCGGATATACTAGTCACTATCCTAGTAAATTCTGGGCACAAAAGTGAGCTAAATCTTAACAGTCAACTAAAAAGTATTGTTTAAGAAATTGTATGTACTAGTATAATTAACTAAATGGTTATAAATTGAATAGGATTAGTTAAAAAATAACAGACTTGCATAGGGTAAAACTAAATAGTCCAGACTTCAGAATTACTGGTAGAAAAGTGGATCGCGCAACCTCAGGAGAACAATTGGTGCAATCGACATAACCACATTATAAGGCTGGCCGGCTAGCTCTCTGGCCTGGCCTAAAATTGTGTCCTGAGTCCTGACCCAATTACTCCGGCCATTTTTCTATGGTGCGATCAAGCCATACTATCTAATATGATAATATTATCATTTTTCTATAGCCTATATTTAGTGTAATGTTATTGATTCAGCCTATATTACTCTGACACGCTTGATCATCACTCGTATTGCATGTCTATGGTCCAAAGTTCAGATTCAGATTCGGCCATGATATGAATTTTCTTTGTACATTATGTCAACATTAAGGTTTTAATAAAATCTATAGACTAGACTACGTGTTGAGTACTCGACATAGACAAGTAGTTGTAATATAATACAGAGTAGCATACAACTATATTATTTCTTAGTGAAGACTAGTCTTATACTCCCATAAGCTAACAGCAGCCTGCACCACTATTTATCAGATCAATATGAAAAGAAATTGATCACATGTCAAGAAACTTCAACCTTATGAATCTTAATCACTCACTTTAGTATTGACAAATTATGATTTGAACAAGAAAAATAAAAGAGACACTAACACTATTGACCACTTTACAGAAATCAAACGTTTTATATGATGATTATGATTTGATCATGATTTTCTCTAATTAAATACATGTCTAAGAATAAAGTGTACATGATAATGGAGCAGAAATTCCAAGTTTTTAAATACTATTTCATAGATTAATATTATTAATTCTACATGCGTTTTATACCACTAATCTTGAGCTAGTACAAAGAAATTATATAACATTAATAAACAGAATCAGGTACCAAACATATTGCTGCATTTGTTTTCTATATAAAGACGTTACAAATTAACAAAACAAACAGCAAACCGTATTAAGCATAACTCGATTCTAAGCCTTCGAACTAAGCCAATGGAGTATAGTTTTTCTCAAGGTTGTCAAGGATATCCTTACTATCCACCACCTTCTCCTCCTACTGATTACTACCCTCCTCTTAGCCATGATATTCCTATAGATTACTACCCTTCTGAATCTCCAAACTATTATTACAATGATCCTTATACCGGGAATTCGTTTAATACTGGTGGCAATTGTTATACAGGACACGGTATACAGAGAAATGGAGATGTTATACTTGAAGCTGGATCAAATCATGGCAGTCAAACTGCTAGGCACAAACGTCGTAATCCCAAGTTTGTTGGTGGATGTCATGGTAATCAAGGCGGTCATCAGGTGTCTGGGAATGTTATCTTAGGTAACATGTAGTAACTGCACGCCAATACAACGCGCAGTTAATGATCATTTTTGCAATTTGTGTGACTGATGTAATAAACGCCAAAGGTCTAAGTTGATTTGAGTATGTAGTGTGTACTGTATTGTGTGATTTTTTTTTGAAGCTATTAATTGTTTCAGGATTTTTTCCAAGTTGATATTGAGTATAAGCTACTGAGTGATGATCATTGTTCTCTCACTATTTACTTTCGTTTTCTTAAATTAGTCTACATTTAAGCACTATTCGTACTCATAGTTCCGATTCCCGAGTTTAAAGTTTATTTTGAAACAGAGGGGTACAATTCTGTTGGGCTATAGGGTCCCTTCCTTTGCGGAGAAAACCTAATATTTTGTGTAATTGTGGAGTCAACTATTATTCTTAGCCCATATTAAAGTTATGTTTACCTTGGAGTTCAATTATTGAATTAGTAGCCATTGGATACGAATTTTCCATAAATGAACTACATGTTAAACTTGGAACAGAAATCCCAAGTTTGGACGCCAAATATACCTCATGAAAGTAGCAAGGGCTTTATAGCACCCGAATGGCATCACAAACCGTTCATACAAGCTTTGCTTTGTCACAAAGTCGGCTTTACACTCATCTCCTTCACAACATTTCCAGATTTGGAGATAACACATGCTTAAATCTATCTCACGGAATATAACCCCTAAATGGCTAGATTTAATTCTTGTGCAAACTCAAAACATAAATTGCAGCACTTTACTTGCAACAGAATCAGTTCTGCTGCATTTTCCCTTGCTCTATATAAAGAGGCAAATCTTACAAACTTCTTAGCTAAGAAAACCTCATTCAAAAAAATGCAGCCCTCGTTTCCTCGAAATTATTACTATCCTCCTCCTACCGCTAATTACTACTATCCTCCTCCTCCTCCAACTCCGCCTCCTTGTAATTACTACGGTCATGTGTACCGTGGTTATAATGTTGGTGGCAACCAGCATAGTGGACCTGGAACACAAAGAAATGGAAGCCTTATACTAGGAAACGGATCCGAGCTCGGCAATCATACTGTCAGGCAAGAATGTCGTCAGGCCACCATCATTGGTGGATGCCATGGCAATCAAGGTGGCCATCAGGTATCTGGCAATATTAACTTAGGTGACATTTAGACATTTATACCTCTTGCTCTTACTATGCGCGATCTTAGTCTTGCCTTGATTGGCTCTTACGAGTAACTAGTTTTAAGCTTTTTCATGCTTTGGGTGTTAGATTACCGTCTGGAAATTCAGTTGTATTTTCATGTACGAAGTATAATTGTGTGTATACATAGATGCCTGATTCTATGCGTTCCAATAATTAATGGCTTTACGTTTATACAACTCTCAATGTCTAGTTAATTCCCAAAAAAAAATCTGTGAGGAAAAAATAAAGAAATGAAACACATACAGAGTACCAAACAACCCATAAATGAAACTATGTGAAAGATACAAACTTGATAAAAAAAAGCAAAAGACAAAAGTCACAGAATCGGATCTTTAAAAATTTTAGGGGAAACATTTGAGCAATTTCGATTCGTGTAGACAGGTGAAAATTTGAGCAAATGCACCAAAAGTCTATAACTTATATAACAGGTAACTAGTTTTTTGGTCCAACTCAAAATCAAGAACCTACTCTAACGTTTTGATGGTACAACCAAAGTGTTCAATTTTTGTGTTTTCAACCGAATCAACACTGCAACAAGTGACATAATTATACCAGTAGATCAACCCCTCAGTGAATACTTCTTTCCTTGAAAAGGCTGGAACTTTGGCTCTTCTTTTTGAGGCTCCTCTGGTTTCTTTTCTTTAACAGGTTCCTGTATAAATCACGCAACATTGGTAAATAATTGATGTGTATCATTTGATCAAAGGTTTCACAGAACAAGATAACCGAAAAAAGAAAAGGCTTAACACGGGGAAAAGGGTGATATATAACAGTACCTTTGGTGCCTCCTTAGTAGGCCGATTGGCGTTGGAACCAAAAACAAGCTTTCCTTGTGATTGGCGATTGGTGCTCTGTGAGCTAGACCCTGCAGTGGACTTCCCAGCCCCAGAGGCAACAGCAGGCTGCTTATCTTTGGATACAGACGTAGAAGCAGGAGAAGGTGCCTGTTGTGCAGGCTTTCCATCCAAGCGCCTTCCAACACCAGTAAAGGGGTTAAACTTTGGCTCTTCAACTGGAATTTCTTCATCTGCACCAATGCCAACATTTACTTAGCTAAACATCTGTTGTACAACTCTTACCAAGTTAACATTATCCCATTCCCAAGTAAATCTAGTGGAATTCCACATAGTATAATCATCACCCTGCGCAAGCCATAAAAAATATATACCTTCCAGGAACAAAACTTACTGTTACGTCAAGCAGTAAATGTCACTGTAAGAACTTAACAAGGTTCAGCATATTAAGTTTGTCATTTCTGGATGATTTTCTCCAATATAGAAAAACTCCTTTATTATTAATCATCTAGTTGAGAAGTTCAGTACAATGAGTTAATAATTCTTGACAAGTTTTTCCCATCCTACTAAATTTTTGAGGCTTTGGTAAGTGGTAAGTTGGTAACCCAAGTAGATCCCAACACTTTGGCCGTAATGGTTCCTACCAAATTCGTTCAAACTATAATATATTCAAAGAAACTCAAAGACAACACCACGAAGATAAAATATAACACTAATCTACTAGTATAAATTAACTACAAAATCATGGGACAAGCACATTCACATTATGTTAACTAAGGAGAATTGGTACAAAATATTTGCTTCAATGGCATTTACTGCAGTCTCATGATTCTCAGCAGCTCCTACCATAGGCTAATAGTTTATTTATTTATGACTTCCAAATTAGTGGGTAAAACTTCTAGAACTATTTGATACATATCTAAGAAAAAGAGAAGAATTCTCCCATATATCAGAAATTAGAATGCAGTTATACTACAAAGATTATCACCCCATCCCAGTATATTTTACAAATTATATAATAAAATAAACTAAAATAAAAAAGTTTGCACAAAGTGCTTTCTACGATTGAGTACTAAAGAAAAAGTCATGTGCATTAGGTTTTGATTACTTCATGCAGCAGTCATAAAGCTATGATTCCCACTATGAAAGAAAGAAGAACCCAGCTATAATAGAGACTCAATAAGATCTCTCAGTATAATCAAACTTCAACTAGGAATAAAGTTTGACACAACGAAATTTATGGGAATGTGAAGATAAGTAACCAACTAAATCAAGGCTTTAAGAGAGGCTCTATACAATCTCCAGCATCAGGGAAAACTCTTGGCAGCCTAGTTAATGGCAACTATATAAAAGCTAAACATATACTACGTATATATTGTCAGAAGAAAAGAAAAGCATATAAACAAGCATGTTCCATCAAACGCAAAGAGAGTAAAGTGATTGTGCATACCTTGAGCTGGTGCCTTGCCAGGAGCAGATACCGCAGGTCTTTCAGGCTCTTTGTAATCAAGAGGAGGGGCAAAGTCTACCTCACAGTCTGTCTCGATTATACTAATTGCATGAGAGGGCTTTGTTTCAATAATGTCAATGTAATACTTCTTATTATTATATGCCACCATGATACTGTCTCCAGAAGTCAAGCAGGAATAATTTCTCAAAGTAGTCTCCAAACTGCACAAGGAATTAAGCAAACAATGGTAAGAAAATCTCGAGTATATTGACCAAGCCGGCGGCAAGCCACACATCATTACAAAAGATGCAGACAGGGGATGTCTAAACTCCAAAATGGGATAGACAACCAACTTGTGAAGTGAAAGAAATAGCCACTACAACACATTAATCATGGATTCAAGCAAGCTATAATATGATTCACGAAGTGTGAGTCAATCTAGCATTCTACTGACATGATCAACCACAAATCTGCCAACTACATAGAACTCCTTATAATCCTGGAAGTGACCATTGATTTCATACAACAATTCACTTGCAAAGGAATTTTATTTGAGGCACTTTCATAAGAATCAAAAGCACAAACATCTTTCCTTGTGTTTTCTCAGCAAAAAAATTTCAACATAAAACCCAAAGTTCCCACCCCACTTGCTCATCCAAATTTATCTGACACAAGTATGAAATGGTAGGAAATACCTAAACAACTGATTAGGGAAGCATGGTCTAATCTAAACAACTAGATAACAATTCACTTCAGCTCCTGAAAACAAAACAAACAAAGGGAGGAAAAAAACTTACATTGCCTTTGGATTGGAGATATCCAAGAAGTCTTGTGTGTGAGGTTGCAGTTTAACATACGTCCCCTTAGGCAGAGACACACTCTTAACCCTAACAATGTCTCCCTCTTGCAAAAGCATGTTTTCCATCATCTAAGACAAATAAATTCAACAAACAATCAGAAACTAAATCGGTCATAAATACAGCATTACCAAGCATATAGCCAAACCAGATACATGACTGCATACCCAATATGGCATATAAATCATGCCTTCCTCAGCGATGAACTCCAGAACACCACAGTGAGAAACTCGATTTGCACCATCATTTCGCAACTCAAAAAGCATTGGGTAGTCAATATGAAGAGAAGCTGCACAATGTAGAATATCAGTATCACAAAATAGACCACAACATAATTCAGAATGCCAATAGAGACTATTTTCAGTTACTGACCTAAACGATCGAGGGCTGAAGGAGGCATGATAACTGCAGCAGTATAAACAGAGTCAATATAATTTCCACAGAAAAAGAAAAAAAAAAAGATGAAATTGCACATATGAACTGGCTTACTTTTATCACCACTTTCAATTTGTGGCTGAAACAGAAAGGCAAAAAAAATATTAGAGGTATATCCACATAAAGAATGATGGCATGCAGAACCATAAATTTTCGCAGAGAAGTGGAAAACATCACTATTTAAAAAGTTGAGAAGGGCAACCAAACACCAAAAGATATCAAAGAGTAGCCAAATGATAAATATCATATTGACAAAACTAAGAAACACCCATAAAGGTACAGTGCAGATGCTATATACATTAAAACAGTATTTACTTCACAAAAAATTAAAGTAATAAGAGTTCATCAGTAATTTCAAAACCATATCAGTATTTACAAAAATAAGCTACTGAACAATTACTTTCTGCAATGTCCATTAGTGGTACAACACAAAAAAAACTAAGATGTCTAGTTACAAAAAGTATGAGAACCTTTTCAATAAAGGATGCTGGGTAACATCGATAGGATTGCTCAAATGACCCTCCATGGTATGGATAACCATTGAAAAACTGCAACCACAGGAAAATAAACCAAAGTCAGCAAAACAACTTCAACATATTTATAAGGAACACTTTACAAGCAAGTCATACAGCAATCAATATCCTCAAATTGAGCATGGTGTAACAATAGGAGCCATGAAGCATGTAACTTGATAATGATTATATGGTACAGTGTGTAAACACAAAAAAGGGCTAGTACTATGTGTACACTAGTTCAAAACACTCATCAAATATTCCAATTATCCCTAAAATACTAAGATGCAATTGAGCAAGAGAACGCTAAAGCTAAAATATACAAAGCTTTACAAACTAACGATACACTATCAAAATTCAACTAATAACATAGATAGAAAAGAACATGGTGCTCGCATTGAGCACCACGACTCAAAAGTATCCCTAGGTGTTTATCTTTGGATCCTATTCTTTGTGATTATAATAAACAATAATAAAGTGCAATATAGTGAACCCCCCACCAAAACCCACCCCTCTAATTTGAGCAGGAATTCCACACATTGAACAACTCGCATTATTTGCTGTTTTCTTTCAGAATACATACACGTTACTGATTAAATATAATTACTGCGGTATTCAATCAAAAGTTTTACACTCTTGCTAGAAATAGGAGTGAGAGATTGTATGTAGCTATATAGTTTGTCATTCTCATACGAAAGGCATCAAAACTGACTAACTGAGTCTTTATACTTATATCATTATAGGGAAAGTTGTCTTCAATTGAATTTACAGGATTGAATCTGTAAGTGTGCCTACATTCCGATTTTCTTTGTACCTAAAGAAGATTAATTCATCTTTTCTTCTTTGAATTGTCTACTTTATAAAGCTTTTTTTTTTTTTCCAATCCTCCTTGTTCTCAAGATTTTATCTTACTCAAAATTTAATCAAATTCAACCAAAATTGCAGTAATTCAACACGAAATCAACCAAAATTAACCTAGAAAACAGTTATTACACCCAAATCAAAGCGCAAAACTAGTAAATTCAAACCTAATTATAGAGTAAAACCTACTAACCATTTTTTCCTACTTAGCTTTAAAATTACGAAACCGCACACCTCAAATACCCTGCAATTCAAAACAAAAAAGATTAAAACTTTACACAAATCAACAAAATTAAATCACCGGAATAATTATAACAATGTAATAAGCTATCAAAATTCAAACTTTATCAAAATTAGGTTTAGTACAGAACTCAATCAATCGATCATAAACCAAAATCCAAACAATTATAAATTATTCGTACCGATCGAGCGAAATTAAGTATCAATACATTGCAGAATAAAATTAACAAATAATGAATTCAATCAAAAGAAAATAAAATTAGAATTGAAACATAAAGCAAGAAGTAAAGGGTACCTGAGTAAGGAGAGAGAGAATAGTGTAGAAGTGTAACGCTAGAGATTCCCAAATTTAGAAAAAAAAAAAAGCAAGAGGAGAGAGAAAGAGAGAGAGAGAGGTGGAGGAATATAGAGAGTTGTGAAATTGGCTGAATTGCAGTTGGATTTGGAAAGATGAATCGACGATCACCTCTCCAATAGGACTTCTTAAGTTCTCTAATTTTTTCACGCTTCTCTAATTTTTTCAGGTTTTTGTTAAGTTCGTGTGTTGTCCGAGTTGTATTATTCGTATTATGTTACGTTTGGGTCTTAGCTTGTTGAATGAAAATACAGAGTAATATGGTAAATTTACTTTTATTGGACAGCAAAATATTACAGTATGATAAATTTTATTTTCACTTAGTTTAGGAAATTTAATTTTGCATTAATGTCGATAAGAATTAAGGTAGTGTTTACTTTTCTTAAATGGAAAAATTAGAAATAATAATCCCAACTTTGTCTAATTTATATAGAATAATCCCAACTTTCGTTAATACTAGAATAATCCGAACTTTGGGGGTCTTCTTTTTCTTTAATCCCAAATACCGGTAACCGGTTGAATGGGTTAATTTTATTTTTTTTGCTAAAGTGACACGTGTCACAATTTAATTGATTAAAAAATAAATTAAAAAAACGAATTAAAAAAACCAAAATTAAAAATGAAAACCCCACCAGCCAAACCCCAACCACCCAACCAATCCGGCCACCTCCCTAGCTGTCGCTGGACAACCGGAACTCCCCCACCACTGGAGTCGCCGCTCCGATTCAAACTACCATCCCCGTCCCCAAAACTCCCACACCACCAGCCAAACCCAAAAACCACCAGCCTCAATCTCGAAAATCCCTCTAAAGCCACTAGCCCTACTCGAAAATCCCCATAAACCACCTTGCCCACATCGGAAATTGGCTACGATTTCGTTGGTTGCGGTTTCGTGGCTGCGGCTTCGTGGCTACAATTCCGTGGCTGTTATTTCGTGGCTGCGGCTCCATGGCTGCGATTTTGGGGTTACGGTGGTTTGTGATCTCGGTAGTTGCGTGGGGTTCGGAGAGAGGGGAAAACGGCGACTCGAGGGGTGGGGGAAACGCGGCGGGCTGGGCTGTGATGGTGAAGGTTAGGGTGTAAGGTGGGTGGCGGGGCGGGCTGTGGTGGTGGAGGTTAGTGTGGATCGGTTGGGGAAGGGGGAGCTGGGTGGTTTTCTTTTTTCTTTTTTTTAAATTTTTTTTTATTTTTTGACCAATCAGGACTTGACACTTGTCAAGTGACCTAATATAATAGGTCATTGAATTTATTTGTTGACCGGTTTGGGATTGAAGAAAAAGAAGACCCCCAAAAGTTCGGATTATTCCACTATTAACGAAAGTTGTGATTATTCTACATTAATTAGACAAAGTTGGGATTATTATTTCTAATTTTTCCTTTGTTAAATATCAACTATGTTACTCCCTCTGTGTTTTTTTAAGTGTTATTTCCGGATGTGTTTTTTCCGGATGTGTTTCAACTAATTAAAAATATCAACTATGTTATTTCCGGATGTGTTTTTTTTAAGTTTTACACTTCCTTTTTTGGCAAAAAACTACATTAAAATATTATATCTCTCTCCTCTCATAGTCTCCACTCAAACCCACTACTACTTTTTTTATTATATCTTCCCTCTCACATTCATTACTGTGTTCGAGTCGAGTTCGTTTCGAGTCGAGTTCGGTTCAAGTTAATAATTTGCGGGTTAGAATCAGGTCGGGTCATTCTCGGGTTTGAGTTGGGTTCGGTTCAAGTCAATAATTTGCGGGTTATAATCAGGTTGGGTCATTTCCAAGTCGGGGCATTCTCGGATTCAAGTCGCGTTATGTTCAAGTCAATAATTTGCAGGTTACAATTAGGTCGGGTCATTTCCAAGTCAGGTCATATTCGGGTTCAACTAACAATAAATAGATAATTATCATTTTTATCAAGCTAATTATTGCCTTTGATTATAATATATATGGCAATATACTAGGGAACTATAGTCTATAATTTAGGAAGATAATTATCTCCTTTGACCATGCATACAACAAATATATACTATATTTAACTCTTAAATTTGAGGATGATGCTCCTTTCTTTTGCTGGCCTGGACCGACTTGATCTCCCAATACAAAATGCTTTAATCAACAATAATAAGATGGTCTAAATTGTTTTTAAATTGATTTGAAATCAGGTCAGGAACAATTTGGGTTGAATTTAGGTCGGGTCAATAACAAGTAGTGTTAATTTTGAGTCGGGTTAGTAACAGATTAGGTTACATTTTTTGGTTGGGTAAGTAATAGGTATGGTAAAATTCGAGTTTGGTCAATAACAAGTCGTGTTGAATTTAGGTTAGGTCAATAACAAGTCGGGTTGATTTCAGGTTGGGTTTGTAACAGGTTAGATTAAATTCGGGTCGGGTTAGGAACGGGTCAAGTTGAATTCGGGTCAGGTTAGTAACAAGTCGGGTTAAATTCAATTTTTGACGGGTTAAAACGGGTTTGGGTCAATTTCGGTTCATTGGGTTCGGTGCAAATTAATTAAATTGGCCGTTGTAAACCGGTAAATCGTTGCAAGTTGTAAACCGGTAAATTGGCCGTTTAAAAGCAAATTGAATGGTTCAACACACCCAATTGGACTCCCGAAGGGTATTAGGGACCATGGTAAAAATTTTGGCAATTTTTTCCGGACGAAAAAAAGTCAAAAAGTTCCAAAATTGAAGACTAATATCCACGCTTTTTGAGAAATTTTGGAAGTTTTTAGGCCCGTTTTGGAAAAGCCTTGAAATTTTATGCGATACATTTCAGGGTCATATAATGCCGTTTGAAACCATATATAATCATTATGTGTTGTCATAAATGTTCGTAGTAGGCTTGAATTAATGAAATCGGTGCAAGTTGTAAACCGGTAAATTGGTCGTTTAAAGGCAAATTGGATGGTTCCACCCACCCAATTGGACTCTTGGAGGGTATTAGGGACCATGGGAAACATTTTGGCAATTTTTATTTCTGGCAAAAAAAAAAAGTCAAAAAACTTCAAAATTGAAGCCTAATATCCACGTTTTTTGAGAAATTTAGGAGGTTTCGTGGCCTGGTGTAAAAAAGTATTAATATTTTAGGGGATAACACTCGGGAACATATAATGCCGTTAAGAACCATATATGATCATTATATGTTGTCATAAATGTTCGTAGTAGGCTTGAGTTTATGAAATCCGTGGAAGTTGTAAACCGGTAATTAAATTAGTTGTTTAAAGGCCAATTGGATGGTTCCACCAACCCAATTGGACTCCCGGAGAGTATTATAGACCATGGTAAACATTTCGGAAATTTTTATTTCAGGCAAAAAAAAAAAGTCTAAAATTTCCAAAATTGAAGACTAATATCCACGCTTTTTGAGAAATTTTGGAGGTTTCAGACTCGTTGTCGAAAAGTCTTTAGATTTTAGGGGATACATCTCGGGGTCATATAATACCATTTGGAACCATATATGATCATTATATGTCATTGTAAATATTCGTGGTAGGCTTGAATTAATGAAATCGGTGCAAGTTGTAAATCGGTAAATTGGTCGTTTAAAGGCAAATTGGATGGTTCCACCTACCCAATTGGACTCCGGCAGGGTATTATAAACCATGGTAAACATTACGGAAATTTTTATTTCCGGGCGTAAAAAAGTCAAAAATTAAAAATTAAAGGCAAATATCCACACTTTTTGATAAATTTTGGAGTCTTCGGGGCCTGTTGTCCAAAAGTCTTGAAATTCTAGAGAATACATCTCGTGGTCATATAATGTCATTTGGAACTATATATGATCATTATTTGTTGTCATAAATGTTCTTGGTGGGCTTGAGTTAATGAAATTGGTGCAAATTATAAACCGGTAAATTGGTTGTTTAAAGGCAAATTGGATGGTTCAACCCCTCCCCCCCCCCCCAATCAGACTCCCGGGGGGTATTAGGGACCATGGTAAACATTTTGACAATTTTTGTTTTCGTGCGGAAAAAAGTCAAAAAATTCCAAAATTGAAGGCTAATATCCATGTTTTTTTAGAAATTTCGAAGGTTTCGTGGCCCGGTGTCAAAAAGAAATGAGATTATAGGGGATACATCTCGGGGTCATATAATGCTGTTTGGAACCATAAATGATCATTATATGTTGTCTTAAATGTTCGTGGTAAGCTTGAGTTAATGAAATCGACTGTGCAAGTTGCAAACCGGTAAATTCGCCGTTTAAAGGCAAATTGGATTGTTCCACCCACCTAATTGGACTCTCGGAGAATATTAGGGACCATGGTAACATTTCTGAAATTTTTATTTCCGGACGAAAAAAAGTCAAAAAATTCCAAAATTGAAAGCTAATATCCATGCTCTTGAGAAATTTTGGAGGTTTCGGGGCCCGGTGTCGAAAAGGCTTGAGATTTTAGGGGATACATCTCAGGGTCATATAATGCCATTTAGAAGCATATATGATCATTATATGTTGTCATAAACGTTCATAGTAGGCTTGAATTAATGAACTCGGTGCAAGTTGGAAATTGTTAAATTGGCCGTTTAAAGGCCAATTAGATGGTTCCACCCACCCAATTTGACTCTCAGATGATATTAGGGACCATGGTAAACATTTCAGCAATTTTTATTTCCGGGCAAAAAAAGTCAAAAAAATTCCAAAATTGAAAGCTAATATCCACACTTTTTGAGAAATTTTAGAGTTTTCGGGGCCCGGTGTCGAAAAGGTCTAAGATTTTAAGGGATACATCTCGGGTTCATATAATGCCATTTGACACCATATATGATCATTATATGTTGTCATAAATGTTCGGTAAATTGGTCGTTTAAAGGCAAATTGGATGGTTCCACCCAGCGAATTGGACTCCCAAAGGGTATTAAGGACCATGGTAAACATTTCGGTAATTTTTATTTTCATCGAGCAAAAAAAAAGTGAAAAAATTCCAAAATTGAAGGCTAATATCCACACTTTTTGAGAAATTTTGGAGGTTTTAGAGGCCCGGTGTCAAAAATTCTTGAAATTCTAGGGATATATCTCTGGTCATATAATGCCATTTAGAACCATATATGATCATTATTAGTTGTTATAAATTTTCGTGGCAGGCTTGAGTTAATGAAATCGGTGCAAGTTGTAAACCGGTAAATTGGTCGTTTAAAGGCAAATTGGATGTTTCTACCTACCAAATTGGACTCCCGGAGGGTATTAGAGACCATG